TTTTTTTTTCCCTTTATTTTTGGATGACCTATTCCTTTAAATATGGAATACCAAAATAAGTGTCATTCATTTCGTGTGCACAAGCAGCACACTTTTCAAGAAAAACATTTCACAAAATGAATTGTAGTTTCAAATAATAAAGCGGGTGGTTAAATAAATGAATGCAGTGACATTCAAGCATTAGTGGGGCTCAAGTGTGCAAATACTTTTTTGGGTCCACTGTATTTTGTCAGTGCATTTCTCAACACGGTTGCATCGTTACTGATGTTAATTCATGGCTATGGTGAATTATTTGAATAATACTGCAAGGACTGTATGCATGAGAAGTTTAAAATCTTTGTCAATGTTTGCAGGATGTAATTGAGATCGAAAGCTGCCCGGGTTGAATTGCAAAGCACTTTCGATGAATGTGAGGAGTGACAGATTAAGAGCTGAAATAAATCATATTCATAATGTTTATAGCCCTATGACTAATAGCAGGCTGAAATCTAATGAATCATTTACATAGGCAGTTTTTTTTTTTTTTGAAACTGAAAAAAAAAACATCACAATAATCCACAAGCTGCATGTTTGTAATAAATCGATTACTAAGACATATTTTACTTCAAACTCTTGCTTCCAGCTAATATACCTCTATCAATAATATTGCTTTCTCCAGTGAAGCCGTCTCATCTGAATCAGGAGGATGTTTATTAATGGACTGAACTTGTGTGGATTATTGTGATGTTTTTAGCAGCTGTTTGGACTCTCATTCTGACGGCACCCATTCACTGCAGAGGATCCATTGGTGAGCAAGTGATATAATGCTACATTTCTCCAAATCTGTTCTGATGAAGAAACAAACTCCTTTGTATCTTGAATGGCCAGAGAGTAGCATTTTTTTTTTCCCTTTTTTTTTGGGTGACCTATTCCTTTAAATATAGAATACCAAAATAAGTGTCATTCATTTCGTGTGCACAAGCAGCACACTTTTCAAGAAAAACATTTCACAAAACGAATTGTAGTTTCAAATAATAAAGCGGGTGGTTAAATAAATGAATGCAGTGACATTCAAGCATTAGTGGGGCTCAAGTGTGCAAATACTTTTTTGGGTCCACTGTATTTTGTCAGTGCATTTCTCAACACGGTTGCATCGTTACTGATGTTAATTCATGGCTATGGTGAATTATTTGAATAATACTGCAAGGACTGTATGCATGAGAAGTTTAAAATCTTTGTCAATGTTTGCAGGATGTAATTGAGATCGAAAGCTGCCCGGGTTGAATTGCAAAGCACTTTCGATGAATGTGAGGAGTGACAGATTAAGAGCTGAAATAAATCATATTCATAATGTTTATAGCCCTATGACTAATAGCAGGCTGAAATCTAATGAATCATTTACATAGGCAGTTTTTTTTTTTTTTGAAACTGAAAAATGCGAGTGTTTTGTTTCATTGTAGTTTGTGTAAATTAGTCAATAATGTTAATAATTCCTTTAATAATTGTATATTAGATATGTGCAAAAATATATACTTGGAAAAAGTTCTATTTTAATTGTACTATACTGTAATGTAGCATATATTATTCATGTCTGTAATACTACTTGGAATCGTCTGTAGAGCAGGAGGTTCTTGATTTAATGCTTTTGTTCAGACTAAACACACAGTTTTCTATTAACCATTGCAAATTTTGCATAAATTTGCCTTCAGTGCTGATGATCAACGCATGTTTCAGCACTGTCACAATACATGTCATTCAATATGTTAGAATAAAGCATTATTAAAAGCTTTAGAAAATCTGAGTGGTTTATATTCCCATATTGCACCATATTTAATGCTACGATAACACTTACATCATCAAATGTATTATTTTAGCTGTTGTATTTGTAATATAATCAGTACTAGGTAGATTGCTTTCACATTGTAGTCCATTACTGATTACAAATTACATGACAAAAATTGTACAGTAATGTATTGGATAGCTTCTGTATTCTGATTACTTTTGACATGTAAGAAAATATATGCCATTCTTTATCAACATCATGAAGTACATTAAACTCGACATTACACCAAGGTTTCTGTGAATACATAAATGTGTTAAATTATTGAAATATTATGTATGCCTCTTGTATGTATACACAATTCTGTGAGAACTGGGCAACATTGGGGTAATTCCAGAAAGCAGGTTATGTGATATACCAGGGTAGGTTTAAATACATGTGACATGTCTTATTATATAATTAGCATCAAAAAACAATATAATTCTTATTCTCAGTCATTAAAGATAAAAAAAAAAAAAAAAGATTGCACAACACCAACTAGGTGGCGATATGCACCAAGTGTGTACACGCCACTGAAGAAAATAAGAAGAAATAAGTAGTATGGTGCGCTTTTTCTATCAACATCATGAAGTACATTAAACTCGACATTACACCAAGGTTTGTGAATACATAAATGTGTTAAATTATTGAAATATTATGTATGCCTCTTGTATGTATACACAATTCTGTGAGAACTGGGCAACATTGGGGTAATTCCAGAAAGCAGGTTATGTGATATACCAGGGTAGGTTTAAATACATGTGACATGTCTTATTGTATAATTAACATCAAAAAACAATATAATTCTTATTCTCAGTCATTAAAGATAATAAAAAAAATAAAAAAAAGATTGCACAACCACCAACTAGGTGGCGATATGCACCAAGTGTGTACACGCCACTGAAGAAAATAAGAAGAAATAAGTAGTATGGTGCGCTTTTTCTTAACTTTTCCTAACTCGGCGAGTCGTCGCTCTTGTGTGTTAACCGTGAACATACTCCCGAGTTTCCTTAACTTACTCCGGGACGCTTTTTTGGAACCAGTATACCTCAAGTAAGTAATGCATAAAAAGTATGCTTACATTATATTAATACAACAATTGTATTTTATTTTATTTTATTTAAATTGAAACATTTCTAGAATCATCCAAAAAATAGGCAAGTCTTATAAAGCACATTTTTCAAAGTGTTGGATATGTATCAAATGATTATTAAATTGACAAAAAAGTAAATTTTTTTAAGCAGCAACCATGTTCAGAATCATACTTGCTGTAGACTAGTTAAAACATTTAGCATGTTAAAATTACAGTCCGGCAAGCATAGTTTTCAAGAAAACATGAGTAAAAGTAGCAACGTCTTCAATCTAAATCGGTACAAACATTAGTGTTACATAATATATTACTTTTTCCAAACAAACATAACGGAAGATTTTATACAACAAGTCTTGCAGCATGTATGTGCATAAGTGTTCAAATCCCACCTCACTGCATTTCAGGACACTTTCCAACATGACGTCAAAACATGAATGAAGACAGAAGGACAAACAAGAGCACTGTGGGATCTGCATTCCACAACACGGCTGTACCTGAACATACTCCGTCCACTGCGCTACGGTTTGTGTGTGTTACAGACTGAAGCCTGATACAGTGATATGCTGGGCCGTGTTTCTCGCCTCAAAGTACGAGGTGTCAGTCTCATCATCGGGCTGAGGGATGAAGGGCATAGTCTGATGGTGAAGGTTTTCCCAGTCCACACCTTCAAAGAACGGATGATCCTTCAGCTCTACAGAAAGACACAAGAAAACATTAGTGCAGTATTGACGTCAGTAAATGTTAATATTGAGAATTAAGTATTTTGGTCATTAACACTCATTACTTGTTAGTAAGAATGTCTAAAGTGTTAGATGTTAGTGTGGGTGGGTGGGTGTGTATCCACCTTTTAAGTCAGCACGTTTGGTTGTATCCATAGTGAGAAGAATCTCTATGGCATTTCTTGCATTCTGGGTTAACTCCTCGTCTCCATCTGGCCATGGTATATCTGAAAACATCATTCATGAAGCACATGTAGATCAGACACAGTCAACACCACATTCTTCTCATGGTGTAGAGGACAAACAAACCAAAACATCCATTAACATTTTAATTTTAATATTTTTGAGGGGCACAAATGTACACATGGTGGAACCATTCTGAGATAATAATGAGAAAATAATAATAAACAGTTAAAGGGATAGTTCACCCCCCCAAAAAAAATTCTGTCATGAATTATTCACCCTCATGTCGTTCCAAACCCGTAAGAGCTTTCTGACCCTGCATAGACAGCAACGCAACTGAAAAGGACATCGGTGGTTCAACCGTAATTTTACGAAGCTACGAGAATACTTTGTGCACAAAGAAAACAAAAATGACTTTATTCAACAAGAGTGGTACTCTTATGAACAGCGGCAGACGGTGCGCGGGGGAGAAAAATTGTTGAATAAAGTTCTTTTTTGTTTTGTTTTCTTTGCGCACAAAAAGTATTCTCATAGCATCGTAAACTTACGGTTGAACCACCGATGTTACATGGACTATTTTACCGATGTCCTTAGTAGGGTCAGAAAGCTCTCGAATTTGGAAATGGAAATGTGTTCCATTTGAAAGCTTTTTTTAAAGGGGTCATATGACGTTGCTAAAAAGAACATTATTTTGTGTATTATGGGTTAGAATGTGACCACTATTATAAGGCAGTGAAAGCAGCGGTCGTAAGTTGATTTTGAGGGGAAAAGGAAACAGCACAACACAAAACCAGCTTGACTTGAACTCGGGTATCATGATAGAAAATGTCACATTACAAAACTGAACAACAATCAGTCATCAGGTCATGAAATAATGTTCTCAGGAGTCTGAAATGAAGATGTTTAAGTTTCAGACATGTATACCTTTAACTGATCAACTTGAAGTTTGTGTGCCAGTAGTGGCACAAAACAGGCAAAAATAACTATCTTAAGAAAACATAACTACAAAACCCCAATGCTAGGATGTGCTGGGTTGTTGGCAGGGTGTTGCTATGCAGTTGCTAGGGTGTTCTGTTTCACAACGAAACACACAGCGTCTCGACATGGCGGCATCAATACTACAGCGAGAATAAAAGTTATGCTTTCTTTCTTTGCGTGAACATTTGGGCGGAGATATGCAAATCTTCCCACACAGTGACGTAGATATGTGGGGGCGTGTTAGAACGAGCCGTTTTAGGTAGGCATGGTTGACTCTTAACTTTTATAAAGAATATCTCTTTGGATTTGAGACTTTAGTCTTTGCAACTTTACAGATCTTCTTTATGCACCAAGAGCTTGTAACACTCCAAAGAGAAAATGTTAATAATAAATCGCATCATATGACCCCTTTAAGAAATAGTTTAAAAACAAAAAAATTATTCATCACTGGCCCTTTTACCTCGGTTGAGAATGTTCTGGAACACCAGCTGAGGGGTCTCATCATTAAACGGCGGGACTCCTGTGAGGAACTCAAACAGACAGACACCTAACGCCCACCAATCCACCATGAAATCTGTAGGAGAGCAAAAAAAAACATACAATGTATTGTTGGCTATTGCTACAAATATACCCCAGTGACTTAACACTGCTTTTGTGCTCCAGACTCAAGTTTATTAAGAGGACGACTGTTGCATATCTGCACAGGATGAATGTTACATACATACATATATACATATATATATATATATATATATATATATTGAGACTCGGTGTTCTATTTCTACAAACATGAAACTTGCCACAAAATGGGTTAGAATGTGACCACTATTATAAGGCAGTGAAAGCAGCGGTCGTAAGTTGATTTTGAGGGGAAAAGGAAACAGCACAACACAAAACCAGCTTGACTTGAACTCGGGTATCATGATAGAAAATGTCACATTACAAAACTGAACAACAATCAGTCATCAGGTCATGAAATAATGTTCTCAGGAGTCTGAAATGAAGATGTTTAAGTTTCAGACATGTATACCTTTAACTGATCAACTTGAAGTTTGTGTGCCAGTAGTGGCACAAAACAGGCAAAAATAACTATCTTAAGAAAACATAACTACAAAACCCCAATGCTAGGATGTGCTGGGTTGTTGGCAGGGTGTTGCTATGCAGTTGCTAGGGTGTTCTGGGTAGTCAAAAGGACAGAATCAAAAGAGTACACCTCCAAATCTCTAGATTTACCTCAGTCCCTTCTTCGATGCAAGTTGACAGGATTTTTTTCCCACCCGTTTTATTGTGAAAATTGTCTGTTTGCTTAGAAAAGTAATAACACGCCTCTTCTTAAGCTGCACTATTTGAGGTATCTTTTTATGTCCATAGAACAAACGTGAACTTATTTTAAATTGCTAACATGAAAGTATACTTAAGCTTTCACTCAAACACTTAGTGTAATCGTATAGCTGAGCGCACAGCCTTTAAAACATACTACATTTGTCAGTGTATGCAAAACAAAGGCAAAGTTCCATCTTTTCTCCAAATTTGTGCCACAAAGTATACTTAAGCTTTCACTCAAACACTTCGTATATCGTATAGCTGAGCGCACAGCCTTTCAAACATACTACATTTGTCAGTGTATGCAAAACAAAGGCAAAGTTCCATCTTTTCTCCAAATTTGTGCCACACGCACTGTACCCATCCCCTAGCATACATGTAAAACTGAAGTACACTTTGAGCTTACCAAGTATATCTAAATTACACAGTACTTTTGCGCAACAATGCATGTGGCCCAATTTAGTAGGTCCAAAAGGTGGCAACACTGACCATGGCCATTGTTGCTTTTTCAGACACAAGCAATTGACAAGCACTTGTGTGAAGTTTGAAGGAGACATATTATGCCCTTTTTTACAATATGTAATAAAAGTCTCTGGTGTCCCCAGAATGTGTCTGTGAAGTTTCAGCTCAAAATACTCCACAGATAATTTATTATATCATTTTGAAAATGCCTATTTTGAGTGGAAGCAGAAACACGCTGTTTTTTCGGGCCTGTCTCTTTAAATGCAAATGAGCTGCTGCTCCCCGCCCCCTTTTCCAGAATAGAGCTGCGCCATTACAGCTCGGATCTGCTGAAAACATCTGTTTTGGTTCTGATTATCATGTTTATCGCGTTGAAATCATGTTTTAAACCATATGAGTTTAAACTTCTGATATATGGTTTTCTGAGTGCACACATCTGAAGCACATGGACAGAAAGCGGCTGTCACAGCATGTGAGTACTAAACTAAGTTCTCATTCACACACAAGTTTACGTTAAAACACACATGAGTTACAAAAACAGTTGGTTATTTCTGTGAAGGTAAACTGCTGGGAAATAAATCGCTTGTTTATTTTAGATCTGTGTGGCAGCAGCAATATACAGTAAATAAATCAATAAATCCACTGCTCTGTTGTCTCCTCTGAGGCTGGGACTCTAAACAGTGTTCTGTGCTTGTCTGTCCAGCTAAAGGCAGAACAGTTAGCATGTTTTGCTCAAACTTTCGCCATGGCATTACACCGTTGTTGCTTGCGAAATCAAAATGACGGCGCCGTGGGTGGAAACGTACAGATTAAGGGGCCGTAATATTATAATGAGATCCCTTTGCAGCGTCACTAGGGGAGCGAAATCAGACGCGCTCGTTTTCTCAGACGCTTGCAGAAAAAGGCTTACCAAAACAAAGTTACTGGGTTAATCTTTTTCACGTTTCCTTGGTTGGTAGATGCACCGGGGACCTGATTATAGCACTTAAAACCTGGAAAAGTCAGATTTTCATGATATGTCACCTTTAAACGAACCGTACCAGAGTTTGTTTGGAAGCGGACCTAGACCACCTCTTCAGATGGGTCTCGGTACGGTTGTTTGGTCCGCACCCAAGTGCGATTGCTGCATTCACACCTGCCCAAAAGATCCTGGTAGATGCACCGGGGACCTGATTATAGCACTTAAAACCTGAAAAAGTCAGATTTTCATGATATGTCACCTTTAAACAACTATAAAGACTGTAATGCTCAACTTCTACAGAGAAATACCGCCAACACTGACAAAGATGGAACTTTCTAGTGAGAATTTGTCATGCTGCAGAATGGAGTATATTTTGAAAGTGTAACCGTTCGGCTGTGGGTATATGTTAAGTGTTTGTGTCAAAACTGCTGCAAAACTTTCCCCAAATCATCCCACAGTCTTCCAGCCAAACAGGTAGTCCTGTCACCAACAGTTTAGTCAGAAATTGACATGTCGCTTCACTCGAACAAAGAGAGCAATGCTTCAAAAGTACTACAAAGTTAGTGTTCATAAATGACGCATGACAGGCCATAAATGACATTTACTTGACTCTATTAACTAGGATAACACAAAATATTTTTCACTGAACGCCCCAGAATTCCCAAGAACCGTCATAACAGCCCAACAGAGTTCAGACAGCGTTACTGAAGCATTAAGGGTGATGAATCAGGAGCTGCCAATCACAAAAGCTGCAGCCCATAATGGAATTAGTCAGCCACGTCCTTAACTCAAGGCCCCGATATACGAAAACTTAAGAATAAACTAGCGTGTTTTTGAAAATTATAAGTTCAAAAAAGTTCAAAGCATCTTGCCAAAATTAACTTTCTTGAAAATGTTGCTTCTATTTCTAAACAAACTACCATTTGGTCCATGGCCATTACGTAATAGGTAGGTGTGATCTGTGGTTTTACTTTCTTTGATGTGCAATTCAAATTGAAAGCAAGACTAACATATTTTATGCTTAATAGTGTACATTTGTTGTATAAAGTGCTATATAAATAAACATTACATGACTTAACTGGAGTGCTGAATTGCAGAGCTGGAGGAAACATCTCCACATCACTATTATCAGATGCTTTTCTAACTGCTGTGTGTTTATTTTGTTACTGAGAGGAAAGCACACAGCAAATAGTTACACATTCATCGAATTGCAGAGGGTGGCGTCAGGAAGTTTGCTACCAGTATACCACTTGTATGGCATTTCAAAATTATTTTTGCCCCTAAGCGAAAAAATACTTTGCTGTGAGTATATTGAGGCCTTAATGCGGTAAAGCTGCCCACACATGCACCAACATCTCCATTGGTTGGAATCTACCTGAATACTTTTTAGCATACTTACCACAACTTACAGACCCTGAAACTAAAACATAATATCTGTTAATGAAGGCAAAGTACAAAATGCAGTCCCATTTTATATTAGGTGTCTTTAAACACTATATACTTATGATAATGGTTGACCATTATCATTACCTAATATTTGAGGCACATATGTGACCCTGGAGCACAAAACCAGTCTTAAGTCACTTGGGTATATTTTTAGCAATAGCCAAAAAATACATTGTATGGGTCAAAATTATAGATTTTTCTTTTATGCCAAAAATCATTAGGATATTAAGTAAAGATCATGTTACATGAAGATATTTTGTAAATTTCCTACCGTAAATATATCAAAACTTAATTTTAAATTAGTAATATGCATTGCTAAGAGCTTCATTCGGACAACTTTAAAGGCGATTTTCTCAGTATTTAGATTTTTTTTGCACCCTCAGATTCCAGATATTCAAATAGTTGTATCTCAGCCAAATATTGTCCTATCACCATACATCAATGGAAAGCTTATTTATTCAGCTTTCAGAAGGTGTATAAATCTCAAATTCGAGAAATTTACCCTTATGACTGGTTTTGTGGTCCAGGGTCACATATTTCTATAACTTAACCACTTAAACTCTTACCATGAGCTTTGCCTAGTAAAAGTTCCGGTGCCAAGTAATCAGGAGTTCCCAGGATAGGAGCCCCTTCCACACGTTCTGGACCTCTACGAACACTTTTTGGTGTCCTATAGGGAGTGTGAGACAGAACCATCTGCTGTGGAGTCTAGGAAAGAAAAAGCAAACATTCTCTTATTTCCAATTCCAATTTAAACCCGTTTTCTCCAGTTTAATTTGAGTTCCAAAAGATTCTCACCTGGTAAAGTGAGCTGCTCAGACTGGGCCTTTTCTTCTGAACTGGAGTCACTGCAGACGGGGCATTGTGGAAGGAGGCTGACGCAGACAACTCCATGGCATCCAAAGAGGCCAGGCTGAGATGTGAAGTACAAGAGCGGTTTATGGAGCTGCAGTAGCTCCTAAATGCAACCACGTTCCTGGGTTTGAGGAAGCCAGGTGATTTGACCATACTGTCAGACAACCCACGAGGATGGCCAAGAAGAGAACGCTCAGATCTACCCCTATGCTGCTTTGCACTGCTGTGCTTTGGTGTAGCCAAGGTGGGCCGGGCCACCGGTGTGACTACAGAAATCTCATTTTCATCCAGCTCCTCAAAAGAGGACGACAAGGCCTCTTGTTTAACCACTGACATCTCATGGGCTGAGCCATCCGAATCTAAACTAAGGCTTCTTCTGATATTTCGGTCATCACCGGGTGAGGTCGGGGAGCTCGAGTTGGCCTCTGTTTTAGGCAAAGCCAGCTCCTCACCTTGATCTTCGAGATCACAAAAGAGATTTTTGGCCACGACTATGGGACTAGATTGCTTTGGGCCCATTCTCTCACTCATCTCTTGACATATCGGTGCACTTTTAACATCATCAAGCCCCACAGTGGAGAAAATTCCTGTCAAGCCTGTGTGGGCCCTTGAGTTGTCCTCAGGAATGTGGAAAGACCTCTTGTAAACAGTGTTGTTTTTCTTGCAATGGATCTCAGCCTGCTCTGGGCTTTTCTCTACTTCGTCAAAAGCTCTCTTTACTGAGGATTTGGGCTCTGTTGGCGGCTCCGGTTTCAGAAGACTTGATTGATGGGGACCAGCCTTACCCAGTGGAGTAGCACAGTGGTCGGATGCACTGAATTGGAGTCTCTTTGCAGAAATATCTGGTTTAATAATTCTGCTATTGTCCACTTGGTTATTGAGTGGAGTCAAAACAGTGCTGTGATCTTGAACTCGTGCTGGAAACATCTTCCTTCTTTCCACAGGTGTCAAGGGAATGTTTCTTGACATTCTATTGCCCACTTCTCTTCCGTTTAACTGTGGAAGCTTCTCACCATCTTGTAAATTCTAGAAATGCGAGATTACATGATTTACTGATTGCATGATTTTTCTTTTTTTATAAACACTAAAATGTAAGTTTTTTTTTTTTAAGGAAATAAACACTTTTATTCAGCAAGAATTCATTAAATTGACCAAGATGGACACTAAAGATATTTATATTATAAAAGATCTCCATCTCAAGTGCATGCTGTTTTCTATTCATCAAATAATTATGAAAAATGTAGCACCAAATCAGCATATTAGAATGATTTCTGGAGGATCATGTGACACTGAAGACTGGAGAAATGGCTGCTGAAAGATTTAGCTTTGCCATTACAAAGAGTAAACTGTAAATTACATTCTACATTTTATATAAAAGCCAAATTAATTGATTATAATATAATTTATTTTTTTGTAACATTTTTTTCTAATCTCTCATCATAATTAGCATCATCAATTATCATCAATAATCATCAATTAGCAAAACTACTAAAAATGTGTAGTATTGTATTGTATTATTACTAGTGCTGTCAAACGATTAATCGCGATTAATCACATCCAAAATAAAAGTTTTTATTTACATAATATATCTGTGTGTACTGTGTATATTTATTATGTATATATAAATACACACACATACAGTATATATTTTGAAAATATTTACATGTATATTTATATATACATAATAAATATACACAGCACACATACATATACTATGTGAACAAAAACTTTTGTTTTGGATGCGATTAATCGGGATTAATTGTTTGACAGCACTAATTATTACACAATATATTGATATCGATAATTACAGTGTTTTTTTCCCCTCCAAATTCATCATGATCTGTATTGGTCATTTTGAATTGTGCTACTCACTTCCCCTACTTTTACTTTGATTACCTTTTCCATCAGCTCAAAAATCTATTTTTCATTCTGTACGTTAAAATTCAGCTGTAGCATTTTAAAAACAGTAATGCTGGTACAAAACCTGCTCATCTTCCCACATGGGACTGACACAGTCTTCAGAGTCAGTAGTGGATGGTAACAGGCATGAGTGGGCACTCCCAACACTCAGAGTCTCAAATCTCTTCCTGGATTTCATCAGCCTTGGTGTCAAACTCTTAGCCAGCAGGCCAGGACTAAACACACTGTTGGATCCTAGAGAATATCACATGTTAGGCCTTACAATGTTCCACTAGAGCAAAAACAACAATAGACTTTCAAAGCACATTATTCTGAAGCATACCTAGAGCTCGAGTTGTGCATACTGGTGAATTCAGATGATAAGCCCGTCTCTTCAGCAGAGGTGAACACAGAGAACTATTCCTCTGCTTGACTTTGCCGCAGGACATGGGGCTGCCCAACAATGTGCTGCTGTGACGCTTGCCTTCTGTCACCGGGGTATTCTGCCAATTCAAGTCAAAATATGACATATTGTACAAACTGTTTCAAACATGTTGTAGGTGTTAAGTTGATTTAATCCAACTTAAAGAAGTTAAATAAAAAGCGCCCATCCATTAAAAAAAAAAAAAATTCTCAGACGGCTCCGGGGGGTGAACAAAGGCCTTCTGTAGCGAATCGATGTGTTTTTGTAAGAAAAATATCCATATTCAAAACGTAATAATCACTTCAATGTAGCGCACATCACTACGTCTTACATGTGTTGATCAAGTTTGTGCATTTTTATATCTTGGAAAATTAAATTACATTTTGCTGTTGTTGTTGTTGTGATATACTGATAATTTTTGTAATGTGATATTATGATAGTGATGTCAGTGTCACTTCGGAAATCAATGTCAATTCGGTACTCAAGAAACATTTAAATTCTGCTTTTTTTGTTGAAACCAAGATAACTTTTTTCAAAATGCTTTGATGAATAGAAAGTTCAAAAGAGCAGCATTTATTTGAAATAGAAACCTTCTGTATCATTGTAAATGTCTCTACTGTCACTTTTGATCAATTTAATGGACTAACCCTAAACTTTTGAAGGATACTGATAGTGATTTAGTATTTTGTAGATAATAAATTTAAATGTCACAAAAGTAACGTTAGCTAGCGGACATGACGTTTTTGTCCAAACTGCATAAATGAATTGAAAGAACAGTCTGGAAAGCTTCAGCTAGAATAAGTTAAAATTATATACAAATCCTTAATGTATCACGCTGTATGCCACAGTTTATCCAAATATGTGTTGTTAATTTATTTATTTATTTTTAATATAGCTAAGAGTTACATTATAGCCCTTTTATTTACATTTTTCGAAGATGAAAATTTGCTACTAAAATAGATATTTGATAAATTAGCAATATTAATTAATCAAATCAAAGCTAATAAAATAACAACTGAATCATCAGGGACAGCAGAAAAAAATATATTATTGTTGAGCCATGTAATATACAAATGAAACGATTGTGCAAATCTACTCACGAGGCCAAGAGAGCTTATCAGTGACAGAACTTGACCAGGTGTTCTGAAATAATCTTTATTAGGTTTCACCAAAGAAGGTGTGGTTAAAATGTCCATCAGGTTTAGTTCTGGAGGATGGGGAAGGAAAGGTTTGTTAATATCACAAAGACAAAATATTTTAGCATTTCTTGTTGTTAACAACAATATTAATAAAAAATATATATTTATTTAAAAAAAACATACCCCTGTCAAGTTTAACCTTGGAGAGCCCAAAGTCAGTGAGTTTAATGTGACCCTCATTTGAGATGAGCATGTTGTCTGGTTTTAAGTCCCTGAGTCAAATGACAAAAAGGATGTCAGTTTAATAAACAAAAGAATAAAAATTACTCATAATTCTCCTGTGAATATACCTGTGAATAATGCTGTGTCTGTGAAGGTAATCCAGAGCGAGTACGACCTCTGAGATGTATTTCAGAGACATGTCCTCATCAAAGTATCCATAAATATGAAGAAGTGATTTTACATCTCCACCAATCAGATACTCCATCACCTAGAAAAAAAAGCATGCATGCACCTTTTAAAGTTTCACATTTAACAAGTAGTTCACCCAAAAATGTAAATTTGCTGAAAATGTACTCACCCTCAGGCCATCCCAAGATGTAGATGAGGTTGTTTAGTCATCAGAACAGTTCTGGAGAAATCTAGCATTACATCACTTGCTCACCAATGGATCCTCTGCAGTGAATGGGTGCCGTCAGAACAACTGATACAAACATCACAGTAATCCACATGACTCCAGTCCATTAATTAACATCTTGTGAAGTGAAAAACTGCATGTTTGTAATGAACAAATCCATCATTAAGATGATTCCAACTTTATAATATCACTTTCTCTAGTGAAAAAGTCATCACATCTGAATCAGGAGAGAAATATGCAAACATTTTGCACCATTTATAAGCGGAAACGGTTCAGAACAGTTCTAAACTCAAATGTGATTGGATTTTGATGTGATAGGACAACAGGGGATGGACTTTTTTTATTGAAGGAAGCATTGTTTCGAATTACAATATTTTAGACAAAGAGACTAGATTTAAAAGAGAAGTTAAATTGCCTTTATGGGTTTGTTTCTAACAAACTGGGGTTTTTTTTCACTTCACAAGACGTTAACTGATGGACTGGAGTCATGTGGATTACTTGTGGATTATTGGGATGTTTTTATCAGCTGTTGGACTCTCATTCTGACGGCACCCATTCACTGCAGAGGATCCATTGGTGAGCAAGTGATATAATGCTACATTTCTCCAAATCTGTTCCGATGAACTCATCCACATCTACATGGCCTGAGGGTAATTAGCCTACATTTTTTTGCCAAATTTTCATTTTTGGGTGAATGATTCCTTTAAATATTTTCCACCTGAGGTCTTTTTGAAATGTGACCTGCACCTGTTTTAATGAGATTCATCCTTGTACGTACCAGATAGACTTTAGTTGCAGTTTGTAAAGAGTAAAACAGGTGCACAATAAAAGGACTTTTACTGAGAGCCAGAGCATCTCTCTCAGCTCTCATCTGATCAGTCATGTTCTTATCCACCATGTCTGCTTTCTTCACCACCTGACAAAAAAATAAATAATTGTTTATCAACGCTAACAATTTAAAAATGGTTAAACAGATCTGAACGACATGACAAACAGTAACTATAATAAACAAAAATTAGTAAATTTTAGTAAATAGTACATTGGCAAATTTAGGATACATATTTTAATTATACTTATTTTAAATACTATGTCGTGTGTTATATGAGACAGTTACTAGTTTGATGTT